AATTTGAGAATCTTGCACAATGTATTGTGATCATATCCTAGATGTTCCCACAATAGAAAGAAAATAACTTGTTAATTTCTACTCTTCTAGTCTAATGTTAGCTGAACACAAATAGAATAGAACAGAAGCCCCAGGTTGTCTTGCATAGATTCACTTGAGTCTGCTGCATCACTTTACGGTGCATTCTGTTGTAGATGATGTACAAAAAAGTAAGAATGACTGCCTCATCTAAACAACAAATTGTATTTATAGTTGGATAATTTTCAGCGATTATCCTTTTTAAATTGTATTTATCTCTCAACTCAAAGTTAAACATAGTTAAATAACTCCCCCTTAGCCTGTTTTCCATCCAGCCGTTCCCATGTCCCCTCCCACCAAGCTTTTCATGTCTTCTTCTTCATAATCTCTCAAATTGATGGCCCTTTAAAAATATTATTGCTATATAATACATAAATACAAAACTTTTAAACTACAACCCGCTCAGTCTGTTTATTGTTGCAGGTATTTAAATGATATCTGGATACCTAACCTGGAAACTCATCCCTGGGAAAGACTCAGTCTCCCTCTCTCAGCAGTCATTATTTGCTTATGATTCTTTGTCTAGAGGTGGGGCCCAAGGGATTTCTCCTTCCCCATTCGCATGTGTATTGGTGTCCTCCTCATTATTCAGGCCTTGTTTAGACAGACATATTTCCAAGATGTCATAGATGCAGCTTCTCTGTCCTTTCTCGGAAGCATAGTCTCACAGCAGAATTTCTTGTACTACAGTGTTTACAGTATTCTATATTTTTGTACCCTTCCAGAAATGTTCCCTGGACCCTAGCTGTATCTGTTGGGACTGGGTTTCTCATGATTAGTCTATCTGTACATTTAATCAATTTTCTGTAATGGTCTCCATTTGCTGCAAAGAGAAACTTCTTTGATGAGGGATGAGATCTACACTCATCCACGTGTTTAAGGAAAAGTTTTAGAATTCAGTTAGGAACTGGGCTGGTCTAGAAAAGAAGTGGTAATAGATATTCCTCTAAGGTCCATGACCACATTAGCCTTGAGTAGTTGGCTAATGGGTGTAATTTTCCTCCTATTGAATTTAGTCCTTAAATTCCTTAGAAAGATGCTTGTTAATGTTGAAATAGGAATGCCTTATTACGCCTTCAGGAATGTCTTGCCATGTTGATCATTGTGGTTCACAGGCATCACAGCTGATTATGACTATTGATTGCCACGCCACCTTGCAGCTTAACAAGCAAGTTCTGGTATAATTACAATTTATACTCAGGGCAAAGGCTTTTAGGTCAGTAAAGCTTGTATCTTACCATTATCCCTTTTGTGTTGCAGGATTCAATTTAGAGTAAGGCTATATCTTGTGCTTAATTCACGTATTTTCTGACTCCTATAAATATGATCATAAAACATAACTACACTGTAATATCATTTCAGATATTTTAATTATAAAGAATATCAGGATATTCTAGGCATTGAAACCTTCTTTTTACTGTAACTCATAACATAAAATAATTTGCCTGTGTATAAATATGATGAAAAGAACTTCTCACCTTTTACTATCCACAAATAAGAGTGAAATATAGAATTATCTTCTCTGCTCAATTTAATTCTCTGGGGTCAAATTGTTCTTAACATTTAACATCTCTTCATACATTTCTAAGTCCATCATTATTTTCATGTGTTATTCACAAAGGAACTCTGGAGACTCCTTCAAATTAATTTCATTTGCACAAGAGAAATGCAAGACTTAAGGAAATTTAGCAATATAAAATAATCTGACCTATACCATAAAAAAGTGAGAGTATGCATCTTAGAAAAAATAGCTCAAGGGTTTAGAGCAGTTTCGCTTTTTTGTCCAAATACCATCATTGTGACACTGAATTTCATTCTGACATTTTTATTCATGGGTACCACACCCCACAATCTTAGTCATTACAGGTTTTTTTGTCCATTCCGCTTTATTCTTGGATAATAACCAATAAATTATATAATGATTTTCTCAGATTATCATAAATGATAGTTACTTGATCATATGATCTTCTAAGGTTAGGTTTTGATGCTTTAGTTGTAGCCTGTGAGTGGATCCAGATTTTGGTTACAGATGTTAAATGAGGAACTCCTCTGAGAACATCATGAAATGGTTGTTTGTTTTAAATTAAATAGAAGCAACGTCTTATGATGGATTTCTTTTTGTATTTATTCATTCATTATTTCAAAATATAACAAAATAAAATATAGTAATTAAAAACAAAATCTATCACATTCAAGTTGGACAAGACAAACCAAGAGAAGGAAAAGGGCCAAAGAGAAGGCACAAAAAACAGACACCCGCCCACTTGTACACTCAGGAATCTCATAAAAGCACTAATCTAGAAGTCATAATATATGTCAAAGTACCTGGTGCTGACCCATGCATTCTGGTTCAGTCTCTTTGAGTTCATATGAGTTTTGTTCCTGTTGATTTAAAGAGCCTTTCTCTGGCTCTTACATTCTTTCTGCTTCCCCTTGCATGCAATTCCCTTAGCTTTGAAGGGAAGGATTTGATGGAGACATCCCATTTAGGGCTAAAACTTCCAAGGTCTCCTACTCTCTGCATAATGTGTATCTTTGGGTTCCTATATTTGTTCCCATCTGCTGTAAGAGGAAGCTTCTCTGCTCATAGCTGAACAAGGTACTGTTCATGTACTGTTAGTAGCAAAATTTCATTAAGAGTCATTTTATCACTACATTAAAAAAATTATCAGCCGGGCGGTGGTGGCGCACGCCTTTAATCCCAGCACTCGGGAGGCAGAGGCAGGCGGATCTCTGTGAGTTCGAGGCCAGCCTGGTCTACAGAGTGAGTTCCAGGAAAGGCTCCAAAGCTACACAGAGAAACCCTGTCTCGAAAAAACCAAAAAAAAAAAAAATTATCTAGACTAGTATTATTTGGCTTTAATCTAGGTCCCTGCACTATCTAGTTTCTAGTTCTTGGTCATTGAAGCCGTGTTGGGTATGGGTTCCATCTCATGCAGTGGGCTTTAAGTCAAATTAGTCATTGTTGTTTTCTCCCAAAGGCTTTGTGCAAATATTGCCCTAGCATATCTTGTAGATAAAGTCTTTGTGACTGGCTTGTTGTTTATGTTTCTCATTTTAAAGCTTGCAGAGTATGTTCTTGTACAGAAGATGCTGGAACATAGGGAAGAAAGCTCTAAGTAGGCACCAACTCAACTTCTCCATCTTTAATGAGCTGTGTAGATACTGCAAGTAATTTTTTTCTGATCTATTTTGATTATTGCCTTTAAAATTACCACAATCTTTCATTTCAATAGAACTGCATTATTTTTACTCACAAAATTTTAGCCAAAAATGTATGATGTCCACTTGTATATTTCTATATATGCATGCATAAACCAGACAATGCTCATAGACTAAAACATTATTTCCAGTGAAATTAGGTTGTACAGACAGGAGAGGAAACAAATGGCCTTTGAAGGTGTGAGTAGGAGAGCAAATGAATGTAAAATCTGGAATATTTCCTAAATTTCTATGGAGGAGCTTACTATGTATGAAGCAGATATGTTTTCAAGAGAATGAATTATACCTATAACTTTTAGGTCATGTGACCATGAGAAACATTTTCACATATTCAATTTGACTTCTTTTACAATGACTTGGAGATGAGCAGTTAGGCTGTTTATGAATATGCTTTATAATAAGCTCATACATATTTCCAACCATTTGTCTTATCAAATAATACTTGCTTAAACAACTTAACACTGCATGAGTAAGTAACATATAATTGTGTCTCAAGACTAAAATTAATTCAATGCATAATTTCTCTTTTTCAGTTGTGTGGTATCACCAATTTTTATATAAGTGATTTTGGACCATCACTTTCTGAACCTTCATCACTCACATAGGAACAAAATAAGAAGATGCTTTTGTGGTAATTCAGAGAAGGAGAATAGCAAGAACAACTGTCAGTGCTGCTATAACTAAGATAAACAATCTTCCTGTCATTAAGTTGATTCCATGGAGACCTCCTGGGTCTTAGAACATATAAGTTAACCATTCCTTGTTTGTTTGGTCTTATATTTAGATTAGAATATCAGACAAATGAAACACTAACAATGTCATATACTGTTTGTCCAGGAGATTGAGACCAGAACAGGAGAAATTTCTTTTGGTATTTCTCTTAGATTTGATGACAAGAAGATTATTTTTATAATGTTTTGGTCACACTTTAAAGTGAAATAAAAGTGAAAAATTAATTCTTTCTATATAGATCTATCATTTATAGTGCTAGATACTTCTTACAGAATTTCTTTTCTTTTTCTTTTTTTTTTTTTTTTTTTTTTTTTTTTTTTGGTTTTTCGAGACAGGGTTTCTCTGTGTAGCTTTGTGCCTTTCCTGGATCTCACTCTATAGACCAGGCTGGTCTTGAACTCACAAAGATCTGCCTGCCTCTGCCTCCCTAGTGCTGGGATTAAAGGCGTGAACCAGAATTTCTTTTTTGAAGAATAATTTATTATTTGAGGTAACAATATATCTCTTAGTTTTAAACAAATTTAAAAGGTAGCCAGGATTTTGTGTGCACCTAAATGTACATTTGCCTCTTATTCTATTATTGTATAAGGCGGTTCACTGACAAGTCATTGTGGGCTACTCAGCCATGGCCTTTTATTCATATCTAGTTTATAAATGTTATAAAATGTCTTTTAATATTCACTTCAAGAGCTGATAATACAGTTACACTAGACTTCTCCTCTCACACAAGTGAATGTGTTCATAACTGAAATTTAAAATGTGGTTTCTTTAAAGTTATATAAATATATAATTTATGTTTTTCTCAATTTATGTGATATAACTATATCCTTCATTTTTCTAATACTTTATTTTCAATAGTAATAGAATTAATCAAGATAATTTGCATAAGTATATACTATCTTGTTGGTGAAAATATAAGCATATGAGAAACATTTTTTAACAATTGATGATTTGTGTGAAGAAAGTTTATTTTTGCTATCTTTTTGAGAATCATGCAAAACCAGAGTTTTGTCACTGAGTTCATAATCTTGGGTCTTTCTCAGAACCCAAAAGTTGAGAAAATACTGTTTGTTTTTTTCTTGTTGGTTTACCTTGCAACTGTAGGGGGCAACATGATCATTGTGGTGACCATCCTCTACAGCCCTGCACTGCTAGGATCCCCCATGTACTTCTTTTTGGCATTCCTGTCCTTCCTGGATGCATGTGTTTCTTCTACTGTCACACCCAAGATGCTTATAGACTTCTTAAGTGAGAAGAAGATCATCTCTTTTGAATGTTGCATGACACAATTGTTTTCAGTTCATTTCTTCTCAGGGGCAGAAATGGTTGTGCTAGCAGCCATGGCCTATGACCGTTACGTGGCCATTTGCAAGCCCTTGCATTACTCTTCCATCCTTACCCGGAGGCTCTGTAGTATTTTGGTGGCAATATGCTGGGCAGGAGGCTTCTTGCATTCTATTGTACAAATTATCTTCATATTGCAGCTGCCTTTATGTGGACCCAATGTCATTGATCATTACATGTGTGACTTGTTTCCATTGCTGAAGCTTGCCTGCACTGACACTCATATATTTGTCCTTTTGGTGTTTGCCAGCAGTGGGGCTATCTGCATCATCATCTTCTCCTTATTGCTTGTCTCCTATGTTGTCATCTTGTTCTCTCTGAGAGGCCACAGTTCTGAAGGTCGCCGTAAAGCTCTTTCCACTTGTGGAGCCCACGTTACTGTTGTGGTTTTGTTCCTTGTTCCGTGCATATTAATATATGCACGGGATACATCTGCATTCTCCTTTGAGAAGAACACACTTATATTTGTCAACGTCCTGACACCATTGCTCAATCCTATGGTTTACACATTCAGGAATAAGGAAATGATAAATGCCATGAGAAAAATGTGGAAGAGATTGAAAGTGATTTTTTTTTTAGGTTTTAATATTGCTTTTACACTGGTGGGGAGATGAATCAATGGGTAAGAACACTTGCTTTGTCAGCATGAGGACAAGATTTTTAAATTCCAGAACTCATGTGAGAGTCTAAGCATGGAAGCACACTTTATTCTAGTACTGGTAAATGGGAGATTTATAGATCCCAGGGTTTTGCTTCACGGAGTATATATTTGAGAAACAGTAACCTCAAGCTTCATTGGAGATTTGCCTTAAGAAAATGGGGCAGAATGCAATAAATACTCATAGTTAGCCCCTTATTTTGGCTTTGCATGAATGTTCACAGATACAAAAACCATTCATCCTTTATGTACACTAACATGTGTACCACAGACGCACACACACGCATACACACACACACAGATACACACACACACACACAAATATAAGCAAACAAACATTATACTGTTAAATGTAAAGAATAAAGAACTTAATATTTTATTGGGCAAATAAAGCATTAATTTTTTATAAAGAAATAACATCATTTGATACAATTTGATACAGAAGACATCAGTAGTGGGAATGTGAATAAGTTTCTAGGGTCACATTTTTACTCTGCATTGATAATTTGGCAATGTTATATAAAAATAAAAGCAATTCAGTTACATCCTCTCATTTGTTAATCGCATATTCAAAATGTCTTAAATATTTGTCTGCTTTCTATTAATACTATGCTTCATTTAAAAACTTGTTTGACAAAATAAATGTGTATTTGGACAAGAAAAATAATAAAGTTATTCCAAGAGAAAACAGGTTTCTAAGTGACAAATTGAGACTTCAGAAGCTGGGAGAGGAGAGAGAGAGAGAGAGAGAGAGAGAGAGAGAGAGAGAGAGAGAGAGAGAGAGAGAGAGAGAGAGAGAGAGAGAGAGAGAGAGAGCCAGAACCTGACCTCCAGGTGTCCCTAACTTTTAAGGTGGGTCCATTCATGTCTGGAAGGAAACACGAGTTACTCCTTCAACGTCTTCACTGATAAAATCCTTGAGACCAGCTGTAATTTCTCTTGAGTGATGGGACTATCTTATCCCAATGAGCTCTGGGACCTGATTAGATAAATACCTATGTAGACCTCCTATTTCTATACAACAAAAAGTGCTTGTGGGGCGTTACTGTCCTAGCCATGCCATTGCAAAGACCGTGACACAGTGAGCACATGTCCCCCACTCTTTACAGAGTGAAAAGAAGCCAAAGCAAGCAGATTTAAAACTAGTTTCCAAAATGTCAATTTATTATGTGATTTTAAGATTCTTAACTTTGTGTGCACAAATGATAATTACATTTTTAAACTTATCAATCAATATCATTAAAATTTAGACATTTTATGTCACTTTATGGTTATGTTTTCTTACATTCATATTGTCAAAAGGAATTTGCAGAAAATTAACTTACTGTTAAACACCTTCTGCTCAGAATCAACAACACTAACAAGTAACTGAATTTTATGGTAAAAAAAAATGGTAAATATTAATAGTGTTTGTTTCTCAATGATTTTAACTGCCAGAGATAATATACATGATATTACAAAAGACACATGAGACTTCCTATTGGGAAAAAATACAGAACTAAGATTTGGTCTATCAGTTAATGATTAAAAAAACACAGGAAGTTTCAAAATGTGTAGATGTCACATTAAAGAACAGAGACATAAACTCTCTCTTGTATTAGTTTGAGGCAGAGCGAGCCTGAAATTGAATTCCTTATGTCTTTCCCTGTTTTTGTGCCTGTCTGTAGTTTGTGGTGACTGTTGTGAGTTATCTGTTGTGTGTGTCCAGTCCGCCTGGCTTTAGTTCCATCTGATGTATTGTCTATGTTTTGTTTCCATGTCTGTGCCAGTCTCTGCTGTGTCTGTTCCTGTGACCAAGAAAGGGGCTTGCTCTGTGGTCATTGAAAAGCACAGAAGATATGTTATAGAAAAGTGATAAGAGATTCTTTGTAAGGATTTTTCAAGGGAAGAACTGACTTACTGAGTCCAGTTGATCCAGAAGGGTAACCCAAACTGCAAACGTATGTTATCAGCCTATCTGAACACGCTTTTCAAATATTTATGGGATTTTGTTTGTTTTAGTCTGTTTTCAACTTTTGGCTACTTTCAGGAAATGATTATCCCAACACAGACATACATTACACTGTCTTAGGAGCATGGGACTGTACATAAATATAATAGTAAATCTATGAATTTATCTTAGTTTGAAAAGCTTATTAGATGGGAAATATGTATAGTAGTTTACATTGTTGTCTTAGAGGCAAGTTAAACTTAAATAGGCTGAGTACACCCTAGGATAGAAGGTCAAGTCCATAGTCAAATGATCTCAAAGAATATCATTATCTTTCTTTCAGATATGTCAAAAGTTTAGTCTCTTTGGGATCAAGAGATACATTCAGAAAAATGTACCAGCACAATTTGTGTCAAAAACAGTTTCTGAACAATGTATATAGAATACGTCTGACTGGATTTGTAAAAGAAATAGGAAAGAACTCAAGTATTCTTATTTTCACATGATATTATTTTACACACACACACACACACACACACACACACACACACACACACACACACACACATCAACCAGAAAATTTGTGTACCTGCTTAAAAAAAACTTTTATCAAAGTAGCAGGATGCAAAATAGACACACAAAAGTGAGTAACTTTCCTGAACATAAACAACAAACCTATGAAGAAAGAAATCAGGGAATGAATATGATTCAAATAGCCTCAAAATATATCTTGGAAGAAATTTTACCAAAGAAGTGAAAGATATTTACAATGAAATTCAGTTGTTCATCTTTAGAACTTATTTGGTTATGTATTTTTTCCCAACCTGACACAAGATAGAGTCACCTGAGCAGATAGAACATTACTTTAGAAAACATCTCTATCATACTGCCCTGAAGGCAAGCCTGTGAGTATTTCCTTGATTGGTAATTGTTATAGAAGAGTCCACCCACCAAGGCAGTACCACTCCTGAGCTGGCGGTCCTTGGGTGTATAAGAAAGCAAATCAAGAAATCCAGGTGTTCAAGCCTGTAAGCAATGTTCCTCCATGGTCTTTGTTTCACTTCCTGCCTCCAGGTTCCTTGAATTTCTACTTCCAGGTTGCTTGAGTTCGCACCCCTACTTCCCTCTGTGAAGGAAAATAATATGGAAGTAGAAGTCATATAAATGACTACTTTCCCAATTTCAGTGTGGCCATTTATTTTATCCTAGGAATATTAGCTAAACCAGACATTAGTAGAATTTCAAATTTAATGTATTAAAATGGAATTTTATGTAATTGGAAAATTATAGAATGCTAGATACATTTTACAAGGGATGGGGGCTATCTTCATCTGTCAGAAGCTTTTAAATCCATGATTATGATTCCATATAATTTTTTATTTTCTGTTTTGAACTTTACAAGATTCCAATAATTTTTACTATTGTAAATACAAACATCTTGGGTTAGAGAGATCGTTCAGCATCTAAGAGCACTCTTTGTTCTTGCAGGAGCCTTAAATTGTATAACTCACTCCAGCATTTCATGACTCAATTCTAACTACAGTGGTAGTTATGGCACCCCATTGTGATGGATTATATTCCCAAATTGTGGGCCACAATAAAGTATTTCCACTTTAAGGGTCTGTTAACATGGAGTTGGTATCAGGAAGAAGAAAAGCAAGTAATATGCATAAGTGGTACAAGGGGCAAGGTTGTTGCTTTGATAAACATGGCAGCAGTTGGGAAGAACTTGTTATAGTGTGCTAGCAAAGTATGCTAAAGGTAAAATTATTTTTGGCAGGTCTTTATTTTAGAAGCTTGGAAAACCAGCTACTGAAAGAAATGAAGGTAGTCGAGAGCTATCCCATGATGTCTTCAGGGGAAATAAAAACTCCCTCACGAAACTGAAAATTTATCTTTTCTGTAATATATTTGTCAAGAATCTCGCTTCATTCTGCCCATGTTCTGTGCTTGAGTGAAGTTGAATTTAAAGATAATGAACTAATTTATTTGGAAGAAGAAATTTCAGGACAAGTGAACATTTGCTATATTTTATTGCGCATACCATAGTCTTCGGTGAAAGAGAGCAGAAAATTGGGCAAAAAATAATTTTTAAAAGTATAATTTTTCAAGTAAGAAAAGAGCTCTGTCTAGTTAAATTTCACAGCAAGATGTGTGCTTAAAAAGGGAGTGATATTTGCTATAGAGAAGCATCCTTCTCTGAACTGTGATAATGGCAAATTAGACCTAAGGGCATGACTCCACCCATGAAAGGCTCCAACACAGGGAAAAGTGAACTTATTTGAAAGAAGAGAGTGTGATCTCAGGATATACCCGAAGGACTGTGCTGCTCCTGGAAAGAATTCCCATGAAAGTGCTTCCCGTTTTTCAGGACACACTCATATAGTTGTGAGACAAGCATGGGGTTCAGGCCACATCTGGAAGTGTCAGCAGTATTGTACATCTGGTACCATATTTGTAGTCAAAGCTCCTGAGAAAGGTGTATCTTTTTTTTTCAATTATGTAGGCATAGGGAAATTGAACATAATAATCCTCTACTGATGTTCATAAAAGCAACCCTAATATCATTGAGTCAAAAGTAAAGTACAGGAATATAGAAGGACTATTTGGAAAGAAGGTAGTCACCAGGATGGGAAGGGGATAAGAGATGGTGATGTGTGGCTATTATGATATATTATACATATCTGTGAAATCATCAAAAATAATAAAAATGAAACAAAATATTCATAGAGGAAATAGAGACATTGCTATTCATACTGGCCATACCAGTTTTTCCCCAGAACAGTTCATATTATTCCCTCTTTTTTTTAAAGTTTTATTTATTTATTTATTATGTATACAGTGTTCTGCCTACATGTATGCCTGTACTGCAGGCCAGAAGAGGGCACCAGAACACATTATAGATGGTTGTGAGCCACCATGTGGTTGCTGGAAATTGAACTCAAAATCTCTGGAAGAACAGCCAGTGCTCTTACCCTCGGAGTCATCTCTCCAGCCCTCGTATTATCTTATAGATTAATAAATAG